GGGAAAAAAATAGTTGCTAAGAAAGACGCCAGATTTTTCAGAAGCCTCCTAAGCCCATGTAAAGTGTTTAAAACAAAGCTGTTGAAATCGGGACAATATAAGACTTCATTTTGCCCTCATTTCTGAGGTTAGTAATAATAACAACAACTTGTCTCGTTATTTTTAAAAGCTGATTCTGTGTCAGTCGGAGGAGCGGCGGGGGCCCTGAGGGCGCAGGGTCCGTCCCCGGCAGCTCCGCGGCCCGGCCGGGGACAGACACTGTGAGGCAGCTTGAGCTCGCACCTCTGGGAATGGCCGCTTTTAAAAACTACCTTTTTTACACTTGGCAACATTAAAATTTGAGATTTGTCCCAGATTAATTTCGTACCAGTTCTTGGTAATAGAATTAGAAGATTAGCAGCCTTTCCAGTTACTTAGCTCATTGTTGGTAACTATATACATAGCGGCCAGATATATTCATGTTGCTTTCTTGTGTTTGTGACTGTATCTGCATCTACATTGTTAGGTTGCACTTGGATTGAAAAGTGGGGGAAGGGAAGATATTGGGGAGATTTCTTTTACACATTTTCAACACCCATTTTCCTATGTCTTGTGAGTGTTACCATAATAATGCTACAATAATAAGATGTTAACAGTGCCTGGTTTGGATCTGTTCCGAGAAGGGCTGCACAAGACAATAATAAACCCATGAGTAGTTATTTTGCTTAAGAAAATAATGCCTGTGAGGAGACAACAATACTGTCTTTCCCCTAGTGATCACTGTATTGTCACTCCCTAGGGGGAAATTAATTATATTATGTTTAGCCTGCTAAGGCAACCATTACATGTATTATTATTTTGTCCCTGAGGCAAGATACTGTCTTGTGTAAAATACCTTAAAAAAAAAAAAGGTAATGTCTATTTATTATGGATAAATTAGGCTTAACAAAATGCACTCAGAAACCTCCCTTTTCTAACGTGGGGTATTTTTAAGCTAGATAGATAAGATCATAAAACCAACACATTTTCACACAAGGTTTTCCTTTTTGTTTATTTTCTTTAGCATTAAAACTCCCTAGAAAGTTTCTGCTCCTCATAGTGAAGTCGGCCGCTTTCCCTGGTTTGAGAGACATGAGTTTTGAATGTTTCTCAAGCTGTTTATTCATTCCTCAGAGCTCAGAGCATCCTCCCATCCACCATGTGTTGGAAAAGCAACTTTTTAACCCATTGCAGTAGCAAAACCTGTAATTTTTTGCGTATTTTAGATTTTCATAACTGCGTATTTACAGTTCATGCAATTGTATTGTTTTCTAGCTCTGTAGCATCTTGAAGGAACTTTTTTTTTTTTTAGCTCCACAGCAGCTGTATAAGGTGAGTGTTATTACTTTATTTTATGCAAACAGAATTTTGAATAGCTTTCTAGTAATAAAACAAATCCCAAAATCTCAGGGGGGATTTTTACAGCATCAATGGAGGATAGAACTTCTCCCATTCCACACAGTGATCACAGTTACTCACACCTGCATTGGGCCCCAGGGACTTGTGCAAGGTAACAACAGAATAAATGTTCAGGCAGCCCCTCTGAATCAAAACTGCTCTTTTGGCTAACAGAGTAACTGTTCTTTATGAACAGTTATTGTGCAAGGAAACATCTGTGTGAGAGGGAAGCTGTTGGAATACTTGGTGTAATGGGCATGAAATTTCTTAGGTTGCTTTCTCCCCTACTAAAAGCTGTAGCAAACCAATATGTGAAAGCAGCAGGTGTGCAAGGTGGTTGTTGAAACTCTGTGTGGATCCTCTTGTGGTGAAGTGGTCTGTTCAGAGCAGCTTGAGCCTCCTTTGGTGAGGGATTGGAGTTTATACTTAAACCACCTTCACATTCTCACTGCATGATTCACAGAGGCAACTCAAGGTACTCTGACCTGTCTGTTGGAGGCCGTTAAACTTACACCTCTCCTAATAAATCAGATCAGTCACCTGCTGTGGCAGCCAGGGCTTGCAACACTTCAGAGCAGAGAGATTTGCACCGAAGGCTGTGTGGAGCTGCCAGCCTGGCACCTCCCACTGCCTGAGCTGTGCCCAGCTGAGGCCATGGCAGCTGACAATACTGCACCGACAATAACACACATCCTGCTGTCCAGTACTACACTGGGGGGGTGAGTAACAGTGGAGTTCCTGCTCTGGGATTTAAACTTCTAAAGCAAATGAGCAGAGGATGTTTAACCATTGTCTCTGGTACAATGGGCAGTGAAATGGCAAGGCTGTTCTAGATATACTGTCCCCCCTACAAATACAACCTATTGCAAGATGTTTTGTTATCCATTTCTAATAGCTTAAAAACACTCAATTTGGCAAACAGTTTTTTAAAAACTGAAATATAGTGAAATGTAGTGCTACTGGTAGTATTTAAGGTCAGTTCTTGCTGTGCACATTGAAAACTATAGATTTGTTGCAGCAACATGCAGGCAGTAAGTTTGGTTAACACCCAACTGGCAAACAAGGTAATCTTTGATAAACAGGAACAGATAGAAGTCCAGAAGAGTAAACTGGAAGATCATCTGAACTTTGACATGTACAAACAAATAGGAGTGAAAAGGACTTTGTGTATTCTACTGTCTTTAAATTTGACCCAACTGGCACAGCAAGGTAATTGTGCGTTGAGCTGTAGTTAGCACTGTGATGTGCTTGAGAAGAGCCAGCTGGTTAACACTTCTCTCTGAATCCTCTGGCATACATTGTAACCACAAGTAAGCCTTACCTGGTTAATGCTTTCCATTAAGCTCTGCTGCTATTTTACTGCTGTCATTTTGATTCAAAAGACAGAGACTTTCTGATGAGTTTGGCATCTAGGGTACAGGGGAAGCAGCCAGGGATATAAAAGCAGGTGAAAAACCAAGAGATGGGACGTCAGCTTTTCACTGTAGGAGTGTTGTTAAGCGTACAGAATCACAAGATTAAAAGATACTGAGCCATATCCACCCCTGCTGATGATTAACTTCTGTATAATGACATTAGAGGTAATTTGGCCATTTATACTTAATCTGATTTGCATAGATGGGCAGCTTGAAGTAGGTGGCTGTGAATGGAATGCCATTTCATGCAAATCACTTGCCTAAGTATTGGCCTGGTCTGATTGAGAGCAGCTGTTATCTCTTGCATTTTAGTACCACCAGATCAGAGATATTAGCCATGCTTAATTATATGTATAACCACTAAAGCCAATGATGGAACTCATTCAGAGTTGAGGACAGGTAAGAACTTTCAGAACAGTGCAAGTTCTTAGTCTCAAGGGGCCCTTATATATTATTGGTTGTTTTGATTTTAAAAAAATCGAAATACTGTATTTTGCAGGTTTTTAAAAATTATTTTTAATATTCTGACTTACCTGTGGAGAACTTTTTGGAACATAATAGGAATCCAATGCCGCTACACACCAGGGAAAAGGAGAAAAAAAGCACCAGTGGCTGGGGAAACAGAGATGAGTTTTGCCATGTGACAGTCAGTACAACTGTGTGGTATTTGAACAGGTGCTTGCTGCTGTCTTGGTCTGATGGTAAATAATTCTGTTTGTATTTTCCTTACTACTGTAGCTTCTTCCCTCTTATTTTGAAACTCTTCTGCAATATGCTGTATGGCTAGAGTACATTCTTTGATGTTACAATTCTGATGTTTGCTTATTGCTAATAAGTCTTGTTGCCTACATCCTCATCCCAAGGCATTTATTTTGTATATGGGATATACCTTGTAATTTTTGTAGCTCAGGGCAGTGCTGGTTTGCAGCTAATCAAACCTGCATTTCTAAATCTTATAATTTGAATAAGCCATCTCTTACAACAGTCTGTGGTTCAGCACTTTTTAGAATGCTTTTACTACACATCCAACACACTTCATAGGATGTTTTTACTATGTATACAATGTATTTGCTTTCACTATTACTTTTAAATGCTTGTTGTTACATGCCAAGGTGAAGTGAACTCTTATTATCCAATCCTGCTCTCAGGCCAGGATCATTAGGAGCTGTAGGGAAAAACACACGATAATTTTCCAAGTGTTTTTATTAAACTTGCTATCTTGATGAGGGAATATTGACCATTGGCAGACTACAAATAAGCAAGTTGGAAATTTTACCCTGTTCTGTTCCAATGTGTCTGAATGGAAAGTGAGCTTATAATGGGTCCTTCATCCTTTCTCACTCAGACTTCTTCCTGCTGTTGTTATAAGAGCTTATCATTCTGCAGATGTTAGATAATATGATTTTGTCTGTCTGCTTCTCATAGATACTCTTTTATTTTTTTTACTTTCCCGTCAGTAGGGTTGTGGTGCGCTAAAACACACCGTGAGCCCTCTACTGGCACTTTGTGCCTTTGCTTTAGCCGGTGCTAGAGGTTTTTCCTTCCCAGCTGTGCTTGCTTGAGCCTAAGGAGGGAGGATATTGTCTGTTTAACTACTTTAATCTTGCTGACTTTTAAAATTTAGTTCATGTGCGAAGGAGTCCTTGTGTTCAGTGCTGAAACCGGCAGTTTGGTACCTTTGGGGGTGAGCTCG